TCTATGTTTCAGTCAGCTGAAATAACCGAGTCGGTAGTAAAGGTAGGGTTGGAAGTTATTAGCCTTAAAGAGAAGAGGTTTTATAAAACCTCTTGCTGACCTTCAGATTCCATTATCCTCTTTACTTCTCCCACTTTTTAAAAACTTATTCACCGTTCACTTAATGGTTCTTGAATGGACTTTGAAGCCAGAATATGAATGTTCATAACATTATTGAAGGCGTGTGTGATCATTTTTCCTCGCACCATTGTTCAGTTAGGAAGACATATAGGGGCTGTCACAAACTAATTTTAACATTTTCTCTTTCTAGCTGAATAACTGAAAGGGTTTTTCAGTGATTCTTACACCAAATGGTGTCACAATGGATGAACTACTTATCTGAAAACCTGGAAAAAATAAACTCAATTAGTTTCGTGTTTTTTTTTTTTTTTAAGATATTAATCATTCTGTGGGATAGACAATTATCCGATGCTGTTACACGATTTGGACACACACGCACGCACACACACACACACACACACACACACACACACATATATATATATATATAATGAAATGGAGAAAGTCTGACAATTATTTTAAGACATTTTTTATGTTTTATATATTCTTTTTTATAGATACTAATATTTAAGTAAATGCTCTGTTTATAATAAACAGTATTAGCAACATATACAGGCCCGAATGTCCGAGAAATTGTCATAGAAAATATGCGTCCGCCAACAGGAATCGAACCTGTATCCTATACGGAGCCTGACGTGCTTTTACTGATTTCGTCACAGAGAAGCGTTTCGGTTAGTAAGTAAAACAGTAAAATCGACCTTGCTGATCGAAACGCTCCTCTGTGGCGAATCGGTAAAAGCACGTCAGGCTACCAACGGGTCTATCCAATTACTATCCCCAAGTCTCTCAGTCCAGAGCTTTAGAAGCCGGTTCAAGCAAGTGATAGAAATTAGGAGGATAGTAGTCGTGGCTTGTGGGGGGCATAGTCCTATGGGTAAAAGAGAAACTCGGATAAGTTTCACCACGGAATATGTGATCGAGCGGCGCTATATCGAGTCTGATTCGTTACCTCTTCGTCACCTTGGTACAGTTGGTATGACGTTTGCCTGATAATGTAACTGTCCGAGTTTCAATTCTCGGTAGTGGATGCGCACTGCTGATGAGTCCCAAATATAGAACGAAACGGCCGTCCAGTGCTTTCTGCATTCTGTTGAGGGTTCTTCTGGACTTGATGAATTACTTAATTATAATTATCTCAAATCCTCCTAATTTCTATCATATATATATATATATATATATATATATATATATATATATATATATATATATATATATGTTTATGTGTGTGTGCATAAATAGCAAATATTCTTACTGTACACACAGTTTTGTATCTGACAGTTTCACCCCTTATGAGATCATCTCGTCATGGTGAAACTGCCAGTGACCATGCAGTTTTTATTTATATGGCCACACATGGTATATATACAAACCGTCTATTCTCGATATTGAATACTCTTTCTCCAGAAATAGAGCAACTATTAAACAATAAATTTCCTGATACAAATCAGCAGTACATGAAAAGTTTCAGGCACAAACAGCTAAAAATAAAAAGTGTTTGCTAGTGACTGCCAATGATTGAACCCTCCAACGAAGGTGAACACTGCATCATATCACACTCAAAATCAACGCGTATGTATTTCATCAAATCAATCAATGGCGTAGACAGTCCACATTTCGTAGCGTGTCATACTTGACGACCAGCTAATGTACGATTATTGACACTATGAAATCAATTACTTCTCTGTTCTTAGGTCAAAGATCAGCATTAGGTGTCTGATATTGTTTATTTAGTATTATGAGTTATATTTATTTAAATTAGCGTCAGATAAACAGCTGGTTTTGTTCATGGAGTTAACCTCATGTAGACATGTTCTTAAATGAACGAAGCGTTAGGGGCCCACAGTCAAAATAGGCAAGAACAGAGAAAGTTGAGAATTTTGAGTTATTTTAATTGAATGCTGCTCAGACTAGATGACAATGCTAGAAATTGTTTAAGAATGTAACTTCACCGTGAACTTAGATCTAGACAAGATATTGTCGACAAGGTTAAATATGCTATATGGGACAAAACAATAAATTTGGGATTTCACTAACATTGGAAAAAATCATCATGTATTTCAGCACCCTATTGGTAAAATGTACTGATTTGTTAAAAGTTGGACCCTAATATTGACATCAAATTTATCACTTTGATTAATTCGTATTTCTAGATCTGTTAAGAAACAATGCTTATATTGCAGAAACTTTGAGCAAACGTCCGTTGCAAGAAAAACAGTTAAATCCAAATATTTGATTAACATGGGTTCTCGGTTGGAAATTCCAGAAAGCGTATTCTTACAAAAATATGAAAGCAAATTTTCCCAAATGACAAATTATGATATGATATTTCGTGAGTTTTACCTCAGTTTAATACCCTAAGTATAAAATATCACACCTCATTAATGAAACGATAAGACATTATAGGATTTGGGCATTATCAATAGCTTAGGAAGAAATTATTAACATAATATTCAAGTATTTGAACAAAGATTTGGCATCTCTGTATTATTGAATAAACTAGCAGCATGGCCCGGCGTTGACCGTACTTGATTAAAAAATCGTACGACTCATACAGCAATCGCTATCACTTGAATTAAAATATTTTTGCCCTTCCTTGCCTTTAAAGGAGTGCCCTTTGCCGTGCTGATGTTGCTACATGCCTTACTTCTTGCCTATCTCACACTGCGAATTTTTTCTAAGCTCTATACTAAACATTAAATCTGTTACGAAAAAGAACTAAACAAAAGGAACACAAAACGATCAGCTTTAAAAAAGGACTTGTAACTGGAAAAACCGAATGAAAAAAGAATGTTAACAACAAATACTTTTTCACACCCAAAGAAGTTCTGCGGAATCAGAATCAACGTTGAGTCTAAGCAAGCAATGAACCAATTGGAGTAAAGTGCTATGCAGATTTAAATTTTTCCCACTTGTGACGAATGCAGCTATCGATATTTTTTGCATGCTAGCCTGCTAGTTAACATTCATGTCAGTCAGCTGTTGGCTCTCATGCTGGCCAATAGAATCTTCCTGCCTATTCGCGAAAGCTAGCTATTGGCTCTCACTCTAGCCAGTATAAAATGGCCGCAAACTACATGAAAACTTCCGTAGAAGCATGAAAAAATCGATTATTTCCACTATCGATGAGAGTTGGGAAATGCAAAGTATGTCCTGGCCTCCCGCTAACTTGGAGTATGTGCATGTAAATTTTGGTGCAAATCCGTCGAAAATTGCGGCCGTGCATTCGTTACGCACACATACACACACACATCCTGCCTTATATAGATAGAGATACGTATATCTAAATAAATAAACGGCAAATTCTGTCTGTCCGTCCGTGTGCCACACTTGCTCTACATTGACATATTATAACGTTTTGGAATTTGATACCAGGACTGAAATCTGCGTTTCATCTAGTGCTTGAACATTCGGCAATGGAAATTTTGTTCAGAACTGTTAAAAATTCAAATTTTAAAATAACTGAAAAAAAATATTGATTTTAATTTTTTTTGTTTTTTTTTTAAATATTTATATTGAGCAAATATAACACAAATACTTTGTGAATTTAAACATTTGTTTTAAATTCAGTTTAAAATATCTCCAAAACTGTGGGAGAGGGGAAGTCAATTTTATTCCATCAAAATGCCAAGGAGTCGGATTTAAAGTGAGAGATTTTATGACATGAGGGTTTGAAGTTCTGAAGATTTTATCATTTGAAAACTCTATTAAAGTTCCACAGGTTTGTGATATGAATAAATCAATTTTCCGACTGAATTGTAATTTCGGTGCAAATCGAAGTTTCGTTCCAGATCTGACTTTCGGCCCAAATCTGCCTTTTAGCCGGAAATGGACTTATATCACGAATCAGAATGAAAGTGAGGTTTTGAATTTCATGGATTGGATTGGGGAATTCAAAGCTTTTTCTTCAAATTTATCATTACTGTTTTCTAAGATGGACAAGAGGTCTTTTTAGTTTTGGGCCGGAGGTTCAATTTGCCCTCCGCAAGGGCTTACGTAAAAGTCCGCGCGGAGTGGGGCTTTTAAACGAGTAATAAATGACAGATTTTTGTGTAGATGATTGCCATTTTGAGGGATTCGAATCTCAAAGATATCTATCCCAGCAGAATGCCAGAGTAAGTTAACATGAGTAAATGTTCCCATATATTCTGTATCCCTTCAATAAATCAGCATTCATGGAAGAACTCAGCTTCCTATATTTGTGTGTATCTGTCTTTTTAATATTCCTTCAATTCTCTGTTTTGTAATCGACGCTTGCTAGGTGGGTTACTCGGTGCTTCTCTCTGTCTCTCTTTTCACCAAAATGTGTGTGTGTCAATTACTCCAAGTCTACTGCTCTCACTATGTGTCATGAAAATGTTGCTTCAAAGAAGTATCTCTTTGTCAAACGACACAAAACGTAAAAATATCTTGTCAACTTTATTTGACTTCAAGCCTTCAGACCTCGTCCTTGGAACCAAAGAATCATTGATTGATACAGCAATTTATTTATTTTTCTTTTTAGCTTTACTATTTTAAAGAAATAAAATAGAGCCTCTCTATCACATGGAATTTCGGATGAATCGTCAGCTATCTCTTTTTTTTCAGAAGACTTTATCCGAAAAGAGGGAGGTTGTGTCCTAGACAATGACACCTTCCAATTGACCCATAAATTTAATGGCGAGGAAACTGATCGTAAAGTGGAAATATGGCTCGCAAGGTTAATTATCACTTAATTTGACAAACGAGGTGACAAACCTTTAGGATGGCCACAATGGCCACAATTTTCTTTTGACTTGTGTTCCTTCCTAATATTTTGGATGGACATTGCAGTATTGGATTGATAATGAAGAAGGAGAAAAAAAGAAGAAGAAGAGGAAGAAGAAGAAGAAGAAGAAGGAAGATTATATAGAAGGAAGAAGAAAGAGAAGGAAGGAGGTGGAGGAAGAAGCAGAAGAAGTAGAAGGAGGAGGAGGAGGAGGAGGAAGAATAAGGGTGCGAAGGAGGATCAGGATGCGGAGGAGGGAGAAGAATTCACGTGAGAAGAATCTGTTTAAAAGTTTATTGACGGAAAGAAAGAAGAGGTGAGGAATATTTAAAAAGAACAAGGAAAAGAGAACAAAAGAGAAGAGAGAATGGAAATAAAAGAAAAAGAAGAAAAAGAGATGTCTACCGAAAAAGTAATAAACTAAAAGAAAGACGAAATATGTTAAGAAAATAACAGTTGGAAAGAATGACGAGGGCGGAATTAAACTTGACGACAAAATGATGAACAAGAACGCAACTGAGATAAGAGAAAAGAGAATGAAAAAGAAGAAGCAAAGCCAAAGTAAAATAAAACATAGCAAGAAAAATAAGCTAACATAAAAAAAGAGAAAACAAGAGAGAAAATAAAGAAAAAAAGAACTAAAATAATGATTGTCCTAAATGAAGTTTTTAACGAAAGCTAGGATAAAACATCTTTAAAACGAACCATTCAGACCAAAAAAAAGTAATCAGGAATATTTTGTCTCAAGTCAGTAAGTTGTCGAATATCAGAGGTCAGTGCTTTTGGTGGGTAAAAAGTCCACACCTCCAACTCTTCACTGATTGTAACGAATTCGGGAAACAGATGGGCTGATGAACAGTCAGACAAAGAAATGACCGGGCCTGAGGTAAGCCGAAATGGGAATGAATGCTACTGCAGGTGTGAAGACCATTATTTATAGCTATTCTGTAATCAAAGGTCCTTGTATTCAAGACAGTATTTAACAAAAGCTGTGACAACGAACATAAACATTCGGGTGACATTAATAGCATTATTAATACCTGAATGTGCAGGAGCAATATTCCTTTGCTGTCATGTCACGTTTAGTATTCTTGGAGTTAGTATAATTACATGTATTATAGCAATTTTGAGCCGGTTCTGAGTTCATGAATAATGGTTATCTAGTATTCCAATATCAATGAGAGTAAGTGGAAATCCTACGGTGTTTCATTGTAATAACTTTGTACTAAAATAAATTCATTGTTAGTTAATATCTACAGAATGTTTTAGTATTTTCTTCTGCTCATTTTCATTTTGATTTCAACTATGTGCCACCTAATTAACCTCATTGCCTTCAGAAATAGACAGACGAGTAAACTATTATTACCAATGATAAGAATTAATATACGACAAGCGTTATTACACCCCAAGCATTTCTCTCCAAAGTTTCACTGCTTTCGTTACTTCTGTAAATGCAATGTTAAAAATAGGAACGGTGACCAGAAATAAAATTTATTAATTAATTTATTTCGTATATACATTATGCACCCTAGATTAAGCATATCATTTTTTGAAAATTAAATTTTATAAAAGTGGATAAATGTAAATCCACTGTAAATTAATCTAAAATTATGCTCATACCAAGTGCTATTTTAATATTTAAAGAGGAAAATAATTTTTGAATATGTCATAATATTCCGTGCTTAATAAATGGCATTATATGAAAGAAAAATTAATTAAATTAAAAATAAATTAAATTGATTAAATTCAGCTGTTTAAAAACGAGGTGTATGAGCATATTTTGTTTTTATCATGGGGATTAATTTACAATGAATTTGGAAAGCAAACTGAAACCCCTATTAACTTTTATAAAATTAAAGGCTTAATCTAAATTAATATAAACCATTTTTAAAAAGTTATATATTTCTAGTTCCAGTGATTATTCAAAATTCCCAACTTGTAAACCTACTAGTGGGCAAAGGTTTTTACTGGCAACAGCAATCAACATTAAATTAATATATATTTTTTTTAATTATACCATGTGTAACATCAAAATTGTCCAAATCGTGTAACAGCAAAATTGTCCATTTCTTAGATTAAGCTTTGAACCGTTGTATCTTAAAAATGATTAAAGAAAACTTACTGGAATTATCCGAGGTTTTTATAACACTACTGGACTCTACTTTGAGCAATAAGAATGTATAATTACTCTCCAAGCTTAACAAGAATCGTGATGAAACCAAGCATAGACGAAAATATTCATAATTAATTATAGCTAAGGAAGCTCATGAAGAATTGAAATGAAGTTAAATATAGATGTATTATTCCAGGATGATTTTCCAACTTATTCAAGATGATCTTCGTCCTCTCTAAAATTCTAACTTTCTGTCCTAGAGTAATAAGATGCCTCACATATTTCACGTACAATTTCATTTTTCAAGTCTTTTTTCACTACTCTTTGGACTGTCATAGCCGAAACTCCTCTCTCACGCGTGAAACGTCTTGTGGATTGAGTTGGATCTTTTCTAATTGATCTCTTTAGCTCTAATTTGAAATGATGACCCGTTTCCCTGTTTTGACCTCCTGATCCAGTTTTCCTCTCTGCTGTTCTCTGTGTTTTTTTTTTGTTTTTTTTTAAACTTATTCACCGTTCTCTTAATGGTTCTTGAAGAGACTTTAAAGATGGAAACCAGAGTATCACTCTTCATAAAATTACTCGAGGCCTGAATGATCATTTTTTTACCGCTATTGCTTATTTGGTAATACAGTGGGTCTAATAAAGAAAAACAGTTTAACCTGTTGTCTTTCTAGTTGAATAATTCAAAGGGTTTGTTAATGATTCTTACGGCAAATGATTTCAAGATGGCTAAACGTGTTATCTGAAAACCCACTTAATTTAGTGTTTTTTAGATATTAAAAATGTTGTGATATGGACAATAATGCAAGATTTTACTATTATACCCGGTATTTCAATTTGATTCTATTTTAATCACAGCTATTCAGAGGATCAATCGCCATCAGTATACTGCGTAAATAATAATGAAAGGCTAATTCGTTTTGTTTTTCTTCTGGCTAATAACCCTGGGAGAATAACGGTCGACGAAAAGCAATATAAATGAAAAAAATACTTGCTATAAATTAATAATGATTGACAGTAATGGCAAATATACTATGAAACTAATGAAGCTTAATCTTCAGTATCCCTAATCCAACAGGGGGACCTGAAGAAACTTTTTTCAAGGAGTGACTTTTTCAACAAAATCGATGCTTTTTAAAAAGATTTTTTAATATTAAAATATGGCCATTTTAGTGATAGAATCATAAGCCAAAGGTTAATGTGCTCTAATGCCCATTTCATATGGCCTCAAAATCCCCTTGTAATTGGTTACATTTTAAAATTTCCTTGTATGTTGCTTCCACCGATCCCCGACCTGTATGGTTTCGTCGAGTTCGCCAGAGTCTATACATAGCCTAATAATTTGACAGATCTTCGAATCAGTTGTTGCTGGTTGCATAGCGGGTCGCCGTATGTTTTCAAACTTCAGGGCCCCAAAGATGTAAGTTGACAATACTGTTTAATAATAAGCACTGTGTACGTGTGTTCGTCCGTCCGTTTTTCGATCTTAGGATTTACGCATGCGCGTCGGATAAACACAGCGGCGCATGAGTAATACACACTCTCGCTTACTGGCCTGTTCGCATTCATTCAAACGCTAATCACGAGAACAATAGAAGTATTAATATTCATCAATTATTTACGCCAATATTATTTTTTACTAGCCTAAAGTCCGCCCGAAGACATTTTTCTTCAAATTAATCTTCTTTCTTCTTATAATTGTAATAAAGTACGAGTGTCCGTCCGTCTGTTTTTCGATATTGCATGCGCATCGAAGAAATAGAACAATGGCAGTATTAATATTCATCAATTATTTACAATATTATTATTTTTACTAGCTTAAAGTCCGCCCTATGACGTTTTCTTAAAATTAATATTCTCCTAACTATATCTATATCTATATATAATAATAAAGCGCAGTGTACGTGTGTCCGTCCGTCCGTCCGTTTTTAAAGTCGGCGAATAATAAACAATCTGAAGTAACAGGCAGTAACTACTGTAGGTAAACGGGATCCAAAATTAAATAAATAACTCATTTAAAGTTAAATTTAAATTTTGAACAGATCGAAAGGTTTAAAAACATTTTTTTATTAAAGGTATGACTTTAATTTCGTTTCTCGTCGTAAATGCAATTGATATCGTTTAATTTAACCGTAATTAAAACTAAAGCGAGGCACGGTACATCGCTGATATGTTTTTATCTAGCACGCGAAGTGTGATGTATTCGAAATATTACATAGTTCTGGTTCCTTAATGTCATTTAAGAGTGACTGTATATGAAGGAATCATAAAGAATGGTGATTGTAAAAGAAAATAAAAAATAGCGCGCAAAATAAATCTAAACAAAGTATGAAGTTCGTTTGCGTATACGAAGAAAGACTATGCCGAATTAAGATGTGAAATAAAGATAAAATAATTTTATTATATCTAAATTCTTATAACTTTTACGTACATATGACGCTGAAGGTAAAAGCCTGAAGGCTCAATGGGCTGAAGGAGCTAGCTTAAAATCTGCCCTTAGGGCGGCTTTTTGGTTAGTCATGTAATAAAAGTACAATATTACAAACAATACTACGAAATGAAATATGAAATTAGCATGAACAATACGAACCAAAAATGAATAATAAATGATAATACTTAATCGAATAAACAATCAATATATTGCTAGTAATAATATTACCAGTGGAAATAAATTAATTGAACTTCAGTTGAAAGATATATTAATGAAAATTGAATAACGGTTGGCAAGGATTAATCGAATAAAATATCTTGATAATTTTACTAATGCGAATACAATTAGTGTAAAAAAGAAGTGAAAATAATATGAAAGGAATACGGATTAAAAATTAATAATGTTTGTTAATGGGTCTTCTAATAAAACACCAGGGTAATATTATTACAAGAAATTTAAGAAGAAAAAATTACAAGTAAAAGGTAATTAATTGTTGAGAATTCTTCATATAAAATAAATCGAAATGAGAAACTAGAAATCAAGACGAAGAAATGTTTGTCAAAAGTGAATAGGTTTAATGATCCTTCATCTGATGAAAAGTTAATATTACTAAATTAAGAGTCATACATTATACACATTTGGGCGACCATGTTTCTTTCGATTCTTGAGTGACAAAACAAAGATTTTCCGGGTTGACTGGTAGCCAACCAAGTCCATAGGGCCCAGTCTGTCATGCTATTCTAACTTGAACCGGGAGGAAGAAGAGGTTGGTTCATGCCTTTCCCCAAGGGTATTTCTACTTAAGTGAATGTAAACAACGCGACTGGAATTCGAACCCGGCCCAACAATTTCTCGCCGATATTCATCACACCCCTCACGCACATCCTACTAAATTATTACTACTATAAAAAACGTGTGCGAAAATTCAAGATACACGCTTTTGTCAATAGTTCTACTTATTAATCGAAATTCAAAATCTTCTATATGCCATTTCTGTTTAGGACGTTGACGATCATGACTCTCCACAACGTCCTGTATTTTGTAGCTTTAAGTAAAGTTTGTATTTTTCTATATCTCTTAAACCCTATTCTTCCAACCATTTAAACGAGTTTGTTGGGTAAGTTATGCTTAGTTTCCCTCACCTTCTCTTTCCTTTAATATGTCATGTGAGTATAGAAATTTCTAAGCTCAACTTTCCTCAATTTGTGACCAAGGAATTTCAATTGTCTCTTTATGATGTTAAATATAAATGATCTTTTTGTTTGCATTTTCTCTAAAACTTCGTCGTTGCTCACGTCCTCAGTTCATAATGTTCAAAGCATTCTTCTCTAGAACTAAATTTCTCTATCCCTATCCTTCTGTACCTTCGGATTTCGATGTTGTATTTTTCTGACACTGTTTCTAAGCTATTTAAATTTATCTTTAATTTAAGTATCTCAAATTTGTAATTTACATGTTGGGCTGTTTCCTTTGCTATTAGCCATATTTTTTCGTCCTTTCTTCTCGCTTTCCTTTACTACCTAATGTA